GGAGGGGCATTTTGCACTTTAAAGACACATAGTACGCTCACACACGTTGAGGGTAATGAAGAAATCAGCCCCCGAGTTGTCGATGTGTCGTGTCCCCCGCGCCAAGACAATGGCAGGAATGGAGATACAGGACGCGGCGAAACCCACGCTAGTTCGGGCTCATGCTCCGGCTTTTACAAACACTTTTTGCGGCGCAGATTCCCGTCCTTCATAACATCCGTCGTAAGCGCGCGTGTCGCGTGCGACTCCTTGGCACTTTGCCAAGTCCTTTAATTGCGCTTTTCAAATACAAGTAAAACGCAATTTCCTGATGCGGATAACATTGGAGGTGCTGCAAAATAAGAACAGAAGATGATGACGAGGGTCAGAACTTAAAAGCAACTGTGCCACTTCTGCAACATCCCTTGGAGGCCGCGTATTTCCACGAAACATGAGAATGAAAACGGCATATCCTGATGCGAATAAAATTTTAGGTGTTGCTCATGCTTCAAAATCCATGTACAAGGAGATGAAGATGACACAGGCTAGAAATGAAGCACAACGATGTAAATGTAAATAAAACAAAAATGAAAAAAATCAAGGAAAGGCAAATTAGTTGAAATCGCCTGTAAATTTCTACGATCCGGCGCGAATCCGGCGCCAAAGCCATAGAAATACTTAGAATAAAACGAGTGGACGCTTGGATTGTTTTTATTCTCATGTTTTCTGGGAATGCGCGGCCTTGATGGATCTGCGGATGCAGCCGAGTTGCTCTTGAGTTCTGGCCCTTGTCATCATCTTCTGTCTATTTTTGTGGCAGCCGTTATCAGGAAATTGCGTTTTACTTGTATTTGAAAGCGCAATTAAAGGACTTGGCAAAGTGCCAAGGAGCCGCACGCGACACGCGCGCTTACGACGGATGTTATGAAGGACGGGAATCTGCGCCGCAAAAAGGTGTAAGGCGGAGCATGGAGGAATTAGCGTGTTTCACGGTCCTGTATCTCCATTCCCGGGCATGTTTGGGCGGGGAGACCACGACACATCGACAGCTGAGGGGCTGATAGTCTCATACACCCTCAATGTGTTTTGAGCGTACCATGTGTCTTTAAGTGCATCCACTACTGTCCGGTTTACATGTCTCATTCTGGCGAAACCGGGGGCAGACCTGTAAACTCTTGTTTAAGGGCCGGTTTACGATCTCATTCTGGCGAAACCTGTAAACTCTTGTGAAGCTGGAACAGGGTAATCAAGCCATCATGTTAAAACCTGTCAACTCGAGAACAGGCTGTCTAGATAGGCCGACACGTCGATGGGAAGTAGCGAAAGTGCAAAATGCCCCCCCCCCGTCGACAAACTAGAGAGAAACGAAACAGAGGGACGGTAAAGCAACTGTGAATGACATACTTTCCATAGACCACATTAGTGGCTCGAAATCGCTGCGGAAAGATTTGATACGAGATTTTTGAAAAAATGTCGCCGAACTTTTGGACACGTCTCATATGTTCGGAGTATTTTGGAACAAGAAAAACTTATTTCTTCTAGGAAAGTCTCTTGTTTTAGAAAAAATTCCGCGTTCTGCACATAGTATTTCTTTGGGGCCGTGCCGTGTAAGGGGGCTAAATGAATGTTGATGCAAACATCGCTTATCTTATGAGTAGAACGAAATTGGCTGGCTTTTAGGCTTACAAATCTCTGTGGGTTCGGAACTCGTAACCGGCCGCTCTGCAGAGGCAACGTCACCCACATCCGGCTAAAATGCCGTTTGGACTCCAGCAATTTCGGCACCGAGTTCATTTCAAAAGTGGCAAGATCACCAAATCCGCTAAAACTTGTATATAGGGGTAATTCAACATCATGATTACAAGTATGACATTCATTTTTGGCGCTGGCGCTAATGGATGACACTACGGTTATCTGCGCTCTGCTAAGGCTGAGCCCAGGAGGTAATCGTAGTGTCCTCTCTTGGCGCCAGCGCCAAGAATGAGTGTCATACTCGTAATCAGGATGTTGAATTACCCCTATATACAAGTTTAGTGGATTTGGTGACTTAGGCAATTTGAAAATGAGCTCGGAGCCGAAATTTCTGGAGTCCAAACGGCATTAGCCGTGGGGGGGGGGGTTATGGCAGCACATGTACAAGAAGAAGCGAGAAGTCAGCAACCGGGAATATTCTTTTTAAAGGCGAATGCGACCCTTTCCCAACCTGTGCAATCGAATACCTTTCACTGCAACCTCCCCGTCCCCCTAGCTGAAGATCCCCACCGTAAGTTGTGCCCTGGTGGCACGGCACGCCATCGCGTTGTGACATTTCCTTAACGTTGACGACGATGGCAGACAATGGTGTCTGCCAGTATATTTTCTAAGAATAAAGATGGAACGAACAGCCAAGTTTGTCGTAAACGTGTCCCTGGGGGGTAGCTTGTCCCTCTGAAATGAATACCACAGCTGCTTGGCGCGAACTACCTGGCGCCCGCGCCACAGGCGCCGGCGCCAAAATACCGTAAATCACCAAATTAGTTGAAAACTTGGCTCCTGGGGTAGTTTGACGCCGTGAACACGAATATCACAATCGCTTGCCACAAAACCGCCTGGCGCCGGCGCCGGGCGGTTATGTCAGGCATGCGTCCTCTGCGTTGGTTGCACCGTTTCAACGAAGAGTAAAGGGGCAGGGCAAAAACTGTCGTCAACGTAGCGCCTATTGCGCGCGCCAAGCAGTTTTGGGCCAAGGGGATGTAATATCCGTCTTCAGAAGGTCAATCTACCCCGAAAGACAAGTTTTCAGCCAGAGGAAAACATGGTAAAACAGACTGATTTTGGAAGACTGAGCAATAAAAGCTAAATTGTGTCGAAGATCGAGATTCGTATTCTCACCTTTTGCATTTCTTGAAACACTTTGACCGTAGCCATTCATTTATCCAAAAATTACTAAGTTTCTACGAAGAAAAATGTGCCGTCCCATGGGCAATTCATGGAAAAAACGGCTCGTCGTCAACGTGTTAAATGCAACCCCCCTAATTCCATTCTCAAATACGACCTCCCATGCTACCTACCACTTTCCTAGATTTTCCCAACTTCCTACCACTTTTTCCATTTTTTCCCGAAAAATTTCCAGTTTTTCAGCCAAGAATTTTCCGTCGAACGGGAGGGGGGGGGTGTATTCGGTTATACGGTGGAACAGGCTGAGCCCAGGAGGTAATCGTAGTGTCATCCCTTGGCGCCAGCGCCAAGAATGAGTGTCATAATTGTAATCACGATGGTAAATAACCCTTGTGTACATGTTTTCAGCGGGTTTGGTGACTTAGGCAATTTAAAAATGAGCTCGGTGCCGAAATTGCTGGAGTCCAAACGGCATTAGCCCCACATCCTGGCTTTTCCGGTTACCGTAATACCTTCTGTACGTCCTATCTGGGATATTTTCAAGATACCTTCCCGGTGACCTTCTCCCAGTGAGCACTCAAAAGACCTTCATAGTAATTATGCTCCAAAAATTATTAAAACCAGAGGTACTGTACTTCCTGTTCGTTTAATATTTCAGGTGCACCTTATTCATATCTCGTTTCATGGCGTTAGCAGCCATTTGTGCACTGTTCCCTCCATCTGAAAGCTTGTCTATTTTTTGAGTACCTTTCTTTCTTACTACCACTAAATATCCGTGAAATCAGTGTCATGAACACCCTGTTCAGATAAGTATAGCTGCAGGGTTATGATCTGTGGCTAGGGTTGAGTAGATGGTGGGGGTGGGCGGGTACGGGCTTGAGCACCTTGGGGGCTGGCCATCGACAGGTTGGGTGTGTGTAAAGGAGCGCCACTGGCCAAGCGCGCTCCGGAGTCGCCGCGCGGTGGTTGAAATCAGGAACATTTTGCGCTGCGTGTGCGCCGCATACGGTGAGGTTTACTGAGTATCAGTTTTCGCCTGTTGGGTTCGTCGTTGCGCTTCTAATTGTTTTTGTATTTTTTTCTTCGTTTTAATTCTATGAAATGCGATAGTTTCGATTGCTTATTTTGTGGATGACTTTCCTAATGATTTGATCGTTCGGTGTGAATAATGTTTGCTTTACTTTGTAATATCCTTATGGTTGCGTAAAATTCAATTCCTAAAATCCTCGATGAAACTAGTTCTCGACTACTAATTGTGCTCCACAATCGTTTGAATATTTTTGCCAATTTCTTATGTTGTGCTTCGATGTATTTCTGGGCAATAATTCCGTGTGAGGCAGCGTTCACACCTTCAGAAAGTGAAGAATTGATAAATTTGCGAATTGCGGATTTCAGTATCGGAGAATCGTAGAACTTGAGTTGAAAAATGTGGAAAGGTAGATTCATACATACGCATTTTTTCGCAGTTTTTCTGACTATCATTTCCGTGAGTCGCCGATTTTTCGAGTTCTATAATTTTCCAGTGTCACAAGGCGAGAACGCAAACCGATAGGAAGTTAACTCCGCTCTTTTTTCCCCTATGTGGGTAAATGCTTTGCTTCAAGCTGATTTGTTGCTTGTATCTAGAGTTTTCTTCATACCACTTAAATAATCAAGTAGAGCTAATCGTTACACTCACAAATGGAATTAATAACCTCTCGAAACTGATCAAATCGAGTTTCCTTGTGTGTTTTTCCTGAATTATTGATGCAGCTACGCTGTTGTTACGTGCTCTGTTTTCACATTTCATTTTCGAATTTGGCGCTGTTCCGGTAAAGTGGTGTGCAGGACACCAAAAGCGTTCACGACAAATCAGCAGCAAATTTTTCCGGTGGTCCGGTAGTAGATTTAGCGGCAAATCCTTTGAGGGTTTGCAAGTGGTTGGTTCATTACACTGAAGTTACCCCTCTCCCCTAGAGTTAGCCAGAAATCCTCATCTTATTCGTTCTTGAGATAGTAAATGCTTTCCTACCGAAGTACTTCCCTGTACTAGTGTAAAGCCCGAATTCTGCCGTTCTTTTTGTGTCGAATTCTTGGTTTCGATCGTTTTATGCACATTCATTCTTCTTCCAACTAATCTAACATTACTATTTCTAGAGGGTAACATGGCGCCGCGAGGCAACCAGATGTTGGGCAATGCCCATTTCCGTAAGCACTGGACGAAGCGCATAAAGACCTGGTTCAACCAACCCGGCCGTAAGCTGAGAAGACGTGAAAACCGTCAGAAGAAGGCTGTTGCCATATCTCCTCGTCCAATTGCTGGCCTACTCAGGTGCAGTGTAATTCATGTTTCTCTTTTGAAATTCAGGATTTCGTTGTATAGGTTGCTACAAATTCTTAACGTTTTGAGAAAAACTGTCGTGCGAGAGCAAGTACTTTCAGCGCCTATATGATTCTAATGGTGTAGAGAACAAAAAAAAACGTTCGGAAAGTTCT